ACACATTCTCACCTACTTAGCACCTAATGTTGCACAATCCTACAGATCCTGAAACTTTGTTTACTTGAATGTGAACCACAAGGAAGACACTGAGAAACAGAATCTTAAAGCAAGTCTAATTGTAAGGCAAAGAAAACTGAAATTTTGAACTGCACTTGAGAAAACCAAATTATGCCTTCCTAAAAGGAATAATAATAATTTTATTAAACTATTATACTTTACTAAACTTTATTATAACAATACTAATAATTTTATTATAGGGTGGGTATGATTGAGGCAACTACAACAAGCACAAATGACAATCTCCAGACAGGACACTGCATTAAATATGTATCTTCTTCGCATTTCACCATCTAATCTCTCTCAAACACGACCAGCTTTTTTTAAAGAAATTAAGCATTCATTACTGAGAGAAATTAATACTTAAAAAAAGATTACACTTATTTTTGCATTCTTTCAGTAGCATTGAAGTGGCCACTGGAATGTGTTAGAACAATTTTCTGATTATGCCTAGTTTGTATCCTCAGTTCTCCAACTACACTCAGCTACAGGCTGAGTTACCATTTTCCTGGCAATTAGGCTTATCTTTTTGGCAGTCAATTAAGCTTCTAAAATGAACTTAAATCTATAATACATAGAAAAAAAACCCAAGAAAATCACGGTATAAACTGATATTTTGTTTCCTATCAGATGCAATATATAAGCACTAAGAATGATTCCAATTCCTGACCTTTTGATACATTAAAATTAACAAAGAGAGGGGGTCAAATATACACAATTGGAAACAGTGTAACGAAACAAAGCTAAAGCAGAGCTGATTACTCGCAAAGCAAACAAGCCAAGGACATCTTAAAAAAAAGAATGTTCACAATACAAAAATTTACACATATTTAACTTTGTGCATTAAAAAATAAAACAATGCAATACAATGTTTTTAATTGTGTAAATGCGCTGCAAAAAAGAAATATTTTAATACCTTTAATTTCCATACATACCAACTGCCATGCCTTGAAAAGCCCTATTCCCTTTCCCCAAGCCAATCTAAGCTTAGTACCATTCATTTGTTAAATTGGCAACTAACAACAATTTCTAGTTCTGGTCCCACCAAGTGTAATTCAGACACACACACCACCATGAAGCAATTTTCAGCACTAAATACTCTCTTTACAAGTGGACATTTTTATTTATAAGATAAAGTACAAGTCAACATGAATTACTAGATTCGTACATTTTTAAAACACCATTAAAAATTCAGTCTGTTTGCTTCAAGTATAGCAATCTTTGACCTCATATTAAATTTTCTCACCACGAGGCATCATACAGCATTTTCAGAACAATTTCAATTCAGACACAACCCTGCGCTCATTCCACAAATCCTGATGGGAACTGCCACCTCCTCTCTCCAAAGAACTAATCAATAACCAAGCATTTTAATCTTTCTTTGTCCTAATACTACATTACTGAAGCAGATTAGATTTTTCTAATTTATTTCACACTTAACTTTTAAATTAGTGCATAGCTAGCTGGAATATTACTATTTAAATGAACGCATAACTCAAAGATCAAATTCTGTCTTCAACAGATTTACATAAAAGGACAGAAAGGATAACATTTGTCTACCAGCATGTTATGTGTATCTGCTTAACTCAATTTACTATGGACTTCATGGTGCAAAAACTAATGCCCTCCAGGAGCTGAACTCATTACCAATTATTTCTTCCAAACCTGCAGTGTAATTCCACACTGCTGTGACCAATGGAAGTTCTGCTGTTCACTTAAAGGGAAGCTGGATCTGTTCATTGGTTTGCTACTCAAGCAAGTGATACAGAGCAAAATGATACCACACGTCTTGACTTCTTTCTAGTAAGAAAAAGACACTATGAACCAGTCTCATATTTCATTTCCTGCTAAAACTGAGAGCAACATATTGATGATAATTTTAACTACACATGAAGTCTCTAACAGAATTATATGCATTTTTCAACATGAACTTCCAGAATACATTTCAGCAACAATAATGGCAAACAGCCTGTAGAGTCGCTCACAGACCCTACTCAGCCCTTCATCCCCCTTCCCACCCCAGAACCCACAGAAGCATGCCTGCAAGCCACCAGGTGCACGTGTATCACACCGAACTCGCAGTACATGTACAAATAGCCTCCCACTAGGCACCTGACCCAATAAACTCCTTTTACATGCCTGTAACAGAAAAGCACTGGTAAACAAAAAAAAGAAAATAAAACAAGCTGTACATGTATTCTGGTGGCAAACATAAAGTTGACCATAGGTCACAGGTACCACAACTCTAGCTTTCAACACAAGAAATGCTTTCAAAATAATTAATGGAATCACTTGAGTTTTAATTCCTCTGAAAAGCATAAGTTTGACATCTTTGACAAAGGCTCAGCCAAGTGCACAGTAAATACAACAAGGTGTTTTCACGTGTAGTTGATGTTCAGTAACACATAGAGGAAACCCACAAACACCACATACTGCATTATGATGGGTATCCACTGGCATTCAATTTAAGTGATCATGTCTCCATTACCTGTACTTGGGACAGATAAGCAGTGCCTCTTTCATACTTCATACAAGACGACTCAAGAAATTCCATTTATTTGAGGAATTATAACTAACACACATCAACATTTAAAAAAAAATATTTGATTCAATGACACTATGAAAACCAAAAATCAATCCCAGTAATATTTCATGTAAAATATTTCTAAATTCTAATACACAATATTATTTAACACACCAAAGGCCACCACTCTTCAGAAACTGCCAGTTTGCATTTTAACCTGTCCTTCACAGAATCACAGAATGGTAGGGGTTGGAAGGGACCTCTGTGGGTCATCTAGTCCAACCCCCCTGCCGAACCAGGGTCACCTACAGCAGACTGCACAGGACCTTGTCCAGGCGGGTCTTGAACATCTCCAGAGAAGGAGACTCCACAACCTCCCTGGGCAGCCTGTTCCAGGGCTCCACCACACTCAAAGTGAAGAAGTTCTTCCTCATGTTCAGACGGAACTTCCCATGCTTCAGTTTGTGCCCATTACCCCTTGTCCTGTCACTGGGCACTACTGAAAAGAGCTTGGCCCCATCCTCCTGACACCCACCCTTCAGGCATTTGTAGCATAGTATATATTAGGTCCCCTCGCAGCCTTCTCTTCTTCAGGCTGAACAAGCCCACCTGTCCTTAACAGACAAAAGTCCACACCAAGAATCACCACAGAAACTAGAAGCCTGCTGTTATGGTTTCTATACCATGGCTTATGAGGCTAGCAGGGAGCACACCAGCCATCCTATCACTTAAAAAACTGGTGGCTCAAAGCAGCAGAGATTCATCTTAACAAATGAGCCTACACACTGGATCTTTCCACAGGTGTATCTGTTCTGCAAATAAGGGTTCAATAATGTTTCTACTGCCACTTCAGAACCATTTTACTCTAAAAGCAAAAGGCAAAACCCAACAATTGTACTTTCAGGACTATCCACCAGTTGCAACATTACCCTCTAGTTATATCTGTTAATAGACTGCAGCCCAGAAGGATTGGTTGGTTGTTTTAAAAGTAAGTTTCAAAACATCTGTTGCCCATATAGAATAAGAGATGTAAAAGTGAAAAGAAGCCTCTGCATAATTTGGGAGATCTGCACTGAAGTGAACATCAAGTCAGATCAGCAATTCATAGTTTAAAAAACACTTCACTATCTGCATGCTGCCATTAACTTGCAGCATCTACTCTGCGATAGGTTTGACAGCCTAAAAATGTTAAGAGGTAGCAAAAAGATTCATTCAGATATCTATAACGTTCATACAACTGATTTTACACAAAACTGTGTCCAATAGGCAGAACCTTCTCCCCCTTCACCCTCAGCTCACATATACCTTCTCACTTTCAATTCCAGTGAATAATTTAATGTTTCTTTCCACAGAGAATGACCAAGCCCTTATTTTCCCTCCTCCTCTAACCCCTTCCAGCAAGCTCTGAAAGCTTCCTTACACTTTTACTAACCTAGACACCCTCAAAACCTAAAAATCCCACAAACTGTAATAAGACCTGGGCCATGGGGCATCAGCACCGTACTCCTATTTCTGCTAGTAACACAATGCGTTGGGTTTGCCTTGCTGCAAGAGAAATAGTAAGCCTGACAACTGTTTTGTTTCTTACTGGTCAAGAATAATAGTGCATTTCTAATTTAGCATCGTGTAGAATGACTTCTTACAAGCAGGAAGATAGAGTAACAGAATGCAAAGAACAAAAGTAACATTTCCTTCTCCACAAGGGGCAAACTAATAATTAAACAGGAAATGAAGTCAATCCAGAAACAAAACAAAAAAAGTCAAGAAGTCTAATTAGCTATCAGTGAAAACTGGTGAACAAACTTTTAAAATGCCATTTGCTACCCACTGCTATCGGACAGAGTAGTCCCCATTACAAACTGCAGTGGGAATCAGGCTCCAAAGAACTTGCAATATCACTGTACGAAAACCTGTAGTAACTACAAAAAGGGTATATACAAATGCCTACAACAAGGAATCATTTACTACATCTAAGACAGTATATAATCTTCCTGACTACAAGATCTGCTAGCTTGGTTTGAGCCTTATCAATCTAGGTATTCAGAGGAAAACTACACAAAACATCTAACACTAGTGAAGAAATAGCCAGTACGGTAAATGGATATTCTCCTACCGTATGTCCTCCCTACAGGCAGATTTACCAAGTCCTAGGAGGGCTGTAATCTCCCTGATAATGCTGTCACTCCCAGTGATCGGATGCAGCAGTGACTTCATAGCTTCACCACTCCACCTCCTACCCCCAAAACTTGCAGCAGCAGCTGTCCCTACTTTCTCATATCCTGTACATAACTTAACCCCTCAGTCCCTCCCTTCACTTTCCACACTGCAACCAGAACTGCAGTAACTTCTCCCTAGGTGGATGGGCAGGACAAGCTTATCACTTTCAAGAGCCTGGAATCCGTGCTGATCCCTGTACCTGTGATGGGCTGAAGAGCCTGTAGCCATCATGCCAATGGTACCTCACTGGTGTGTACAGCTCAGTCCCACTTGTCTCATACAGCTGAAGGACCTTGTCGTGAATGACTACATCTTGCATACTTCAAAGCAAAACAAAAGAAAAACAGAACGACCACATAACACAGCATGTTTACTTTAACTGTTCTGACTTCGTTTTAACTCTTGTTAAACTTCACAACATATTTAAGTTAGTGCCATAGCATATTTAAATAAGCAAATAATCTAAAACAGGTGGTTTCAGGTCGAACCAAACTTGTATATTCCCAGAGCAAAACTGGCCAAGAACAGATGGTCAAGGACAGGTACAAGAACAAGGCAAGCACATCACTGTATTTCCCTAGGACCCGCAGGTCTCACAACCTCCAGAATCCGCAGGTCTGAGATCTGAGCCAAAAGCGCATCTCAGTGGTTAACTGATTTTTCTTCCACAACTAAAGCACTGCAGTTTAAGACTGTTTTAACAGTACTTAGAACTTGCTGAAATATTCAAAAAAAAGACACTATGCCCCTGCAGCCCACTCTGAATTCCCAAACTCACGGTGAGCAAGCTCCTACAGCACCCAGCTCCGACCACCTTAACCTCCTGAAGGCACACCTAGACCCAGCTGTAGTTGTTCCACAGGCAAACGTCGGAGGGGTACAACAGGCCCTCGGGAACACATATGGAATGTTTTTCCTCCAAACTGCTCACACTGAGAAGTCGTAGTCTTTTTCCACAAACAAAATAGACCTTCGCAAATGAAACAGACCTTCGCAACAGCGTCCAGAAACTGGGTCAGCATGAAACTTATATAGGAAGCTGAAGTATACAATTCATTGGGACTTCCTAAGGACTTTTTTGAAAGTGATAAATGTGCAAAAAAAGAAAAGCACAGATTTCATACTTTATTTTGGTAGGGGCTTTTTGTGTGGGTTTGCTTTTTTTGAAGTGTTACTCTTCCGAGTACCCTCCGCAGTTTGATCTCACCGCACACCAAATATCCAGCACCGACCTCCCGGACTCGCTCGGGACAGGCTTCCCCCCCGACTCCCCACGCCACCGCCCGGGAGG